TGAATTCTAAGGTGGGTCTTTCAGAGAGCCTCCGTAGCTGCTACTATCTGTCCACCATGTTCTCCCAGAAACCTCAACATTTATGTTTTTGACATTCTGTGTAATATGAGTTCCTGGGATCATTCATTTTCACAACTGTGTATTGGTATGTACTTGTAAATATATCTCAGCTTCTATTCTAAGTGAACAATGGTCAAGACCTGGGTTATAAATTGTTCCTTCCTGTTATATAAGATGTTATCGCCATTTTGGACCCAACAATCTCCTGCTGCAGGTGTCCCTTAACCTGGGTCAGAAAAACTTGAAATCATATTTTCATTAGATTCTCACTAAAATTTAATGTGTTCAATCACAAATGCCAACAGTGCCTACAGCCACATTGGTGCTGTGCCCTAGTGACTGGTATAATAATGATCATTGTTTTGAAAACATACTGAGTTTAAGTGATATTTCAGGATAGCTGTAAAACTATAATGTAAAATGACAGTATAAGTGATGTCTTGTACTGACTAATCTAGAAATTTAAATGTATCTTCATGTGACAAAGTTGAATGACTCCATGAGTAAAATGAGTGCTTTAGAATTGTTCAATTCTCACTTTTGTGCTATTCTTTTGCACATCTTGATTTTTTAAGCCAACAAATTAAGCATTACTATTATTATAGTTTTTTCTAGCTTCACTTTTTATTTTAAGAAAAAATAAAACAAATTTTCATAATCAAATAATAAGAGAGCAACAGTAGTTACTGCACTGTATTTTTATAGTTTTATACAGTTGACATTCACTCTGATTAACCACTGTCTTCCACCCAGGTCTTCTTTTTGGCTTTTCCTGTTTGAATCAACCTTTCATGAGCTTGCTGATGAGAAACGCTCTGTGCTTTATGGCTGACAGTGTGCTTATTTATACTCATTCTTGAAAACGAGTTTTACTTCTAACATGGAACTCTAAGTGGGCCTGTGTTCTCTCTCAGCACTGTGAAGGGAGTATATCACTATCTGCTGTTGTCCCTGGTTAGCAGGAGATAAGCTGTCAGAATAACTGTGACTTCTTTGTAAACAATCTGTAGGTTTTTGCTTTGATTTGGTTTTGGGTTTTGGTTTTGTTTTTTTTTTTTTTTTTCTCTTTTCTGCCACTGTCTTCAAATACCCTTTTACCCTTATGTTCTTCTAGAATTAGGGAAACGTTGGACTTTCTTGCTTTCCTCTGCATCACTCAATTGCATTTTCATTTCTTTGCTCTCCAACCTGCATTCAGCAGAATCTCTTCCATCCTCGGTTCACAAGTCCTCTCTTCATTTGCTTCTAATTTACTCTAAGTCATCAGCCAGGTTTCTTATTTTGTTAATTTTTTCATATCCAGAAAAAAATTGATATAACAAAATTTGTTTCTTTTTTTAAATCATCCTGGTTAGTTTTGGTAGTCTCTCATTCCATTACCATACTTTCCATACTTTCTTTTATTTTTGCAAGTATGTTATACATATTTATTTGTACTCTATATTCAGTTATCTCAACACCTAAAATCTTAGCTTGTTTTGTAGTTTTGTATTTCTGTTACTTTCAGCCATAGTAGCTAGTTTTCTGCTGTGTTTTATGAGATCTTTGCTTTTTTTTTCTATAACCCCAAGTTTCTTGGAATTTTATTTTTGAAGTTTCTTTGTGGTTTTGATTTTTAAATGTACATTGCTCCATGTAAGATATTTTTGCTTCAACCAGGCTCTTGGGATGCCTGACCTAACTGGGAAAGATTTCAAATTAAACTTTTGACACTGTTGTTCAACTGGGGATTAAACCAAGGCCTCATGCAGGCTAATGGGAGTACTCTATCAATGAGCTCTGCCCCCAGCACATTTTATTTTATTCTGAGACAAGATCTTTCTAAATTGCCTAGGTTGGCCTCAAAACTTTCAATCCTCCTGACTAGCCTCCTATATTGTTGTGATTACAGGTGTCAGTTACCACATCTCGCTTTCAAATTAACCTCTTGACATGCATAATTTTTATACTAACCAGGATAATATGAGTTCTTTTCACAAACTTCCTCTGAGGTTTGGTACTTCATAATTTTTAGAGAAAAATGTCTTCCCCCAGCGAGTCCCACCATGTAATGAATGAAGTCTAAAATGGGCATCTGTCTGCATCCATTCTTCACCAAGCCTCATTTTGGGGGAGAACTTCTTCCTGAATTCCTCTAGTGAGCTTATGCCACCCCAAAACCCAGGTCACAAGTAAGGGGAACATCAAACTTCACCTGCTGCCCTGCAGAGGCTCCCAGCTTTGTGTCTTCTGCCTCTGCTATCTAGGCGAAAGTGGGCCAAAGTGTGACCCACCAACTAGGCAGCCTTGACTAGAAAAATAACCCCACAGCAGACACCAGAAGCATTTACTCTTTCTTATGCTGGCCTTTAGCTATTTCTCTTACTTTCTCACCAGAACTCCCGTCCATTTAAAAAAAAATAGATTTCTTTTCCCCTCCACAATTTTCCCAGCGATTTAAGTCTGTGAAGCAGGGAGAAATCACACTTAGCATGCCCTGTGCCGTGGGGCTGGAAAGCAGCATTCTGAAATCACTTTTTAATAAGTAAAAAAAAAAATTTCTCCAATCTATATGACTAACCTGCCATCAATAAACAATTTTAAACTATTGTACAAACTCCTGGTCTTTCAAAAGAAATGTTTGGTTTGGGCTTGCAGCATGTTTGGAGGCATTTGATACCCATCTATAAGCATTAGAACTGCTTGCATCTGTGAGGACTGGCAGTCACACAGTTAAGATTAATGCCAGGATGCCAAACCACTAACCACAGGCCTTATCACTGGACTTTCAGCCTTAGGATGTCCCAGAGCCAAAATTTTCAGGGACCTGTGGTTGCTTTTTAGCAGCTAAACTAATTCTGCTTCATTCTAACACAAATCACATGGCACTCTTTGAGTCACATTTCTGTGAATGTGGTGGAATAAACTGAAATGGAATTGGTTTCACCCTAGTGACCAGCCCTAGCTAAGTCCAAACACCACCTCAGGGATGCACTACTTGTTTGCCTGTTCCATGGGGCCTGTTCCAGGGGACCATCAGTGTGGTGCCCTCCTGGGCTAGCAGTATCAGATTTATTAATTTACTGAACTAAAATTTAATAAATGTCTACTGTACACCAGGAAGTGTACCAGACATTGGAAATATGAAGATGACTCATATGACCTTGGCCCTGAAACAATTCACTTTCTCTTGGAATAACAGAAACATAAATACCAATTTCTATAAAAGCTATTAAATACTGCAAAACGGTATATAAGCACAGTTATTTTCCTTACAGCTAAAATGATAAAAGTTGGATTCGTGTCAAGGGTGAAGGCTTCTCTTCACTAGATTTCACATATTACTGGGAATCTCACTGTGGAGATAGGAGGTTGACTGTTTATTGAAGTGAGAGGGTCTGAGCACAGCCAGCCCCATGCCTCTTGCTGCTCTCCTGACATCTAGAAAACTTCTCCAGGCACTTCACTTCCCAAAGCATCATGCCAGAGGCTGGAAACTTGCATGTGAGCGTCTCTGGGGCTTTCATCCTTCTGGTTTTCATAATTTCTGCATTGTATCAATTCTGATTCCAACCAGTGGCTCTGGGAATATTTTAAATCGTTGTTACAGGTTAGTAAAATAACTTGCATGTTTGTATTTATTTTAGAGCATAGAAAAAACCTTTTAAATATTATAAAGGCAAATTTTGAGGGACTCTGTTGAATTAATATTTTCAAATATGTTTCTAAGCCACAATAAATTTCTATTAAATTTAAAAATATACCAATTCTTTGTCTGCATATGTCATCCAATATTTGAAATAAGTGGAAGATATTCCAGTGTCTGAATAACTAGGCAGATGCAAGATTAATGTCTGCAGTGGCACCCACATCTTCTCAGTATGTGGTCAGGGTCTTCTTTGTAACTTAATGGAGAGCATAACATGGCAAGACAGGAATGTGAGCATGGGTCTCTCTCATCTTACAAAGCTACTAATAGCATCATAGACACCCCACCCTCAGCGCCTCAGTGTACCTCCCTGGCACCATTAGCATATGAATTTAAGGACAGGGTTTTCAAAACATGAATTTTGAGGGACGCATTTATTCCATAGCAGGTGGTAAGAGTAAAGGATAATCTAGTCCTCCGTAGCATGAATAATGCTGGCAGATGTTGTCATTTTATAGATCCTGAAAGAATTCATATTATCGTATAATGTTATGTAAGATATTCTGAGAATTTAAAGACATAAATTTGTAATCCTCTGTTCTCCTCATGCATTTGGCATTTATTTTTATTTCCATCAAAGGGATGAGAACTTTCAGAGATATTGATTAATGTTTTCAGTGTCACCTACCTATGTGAACATGCGGTTTGAACGCAAGTAGCTGGCTCCAGAGCTCCCAATCCTAGTCTCTGGATGTTTCCGACTCCTGAATGCTGCTTTTTTCTCATTCCCTTGTTCTCACTGGTGTCTTTCTTTAGCAGCATTTGGTGTCCCCGTTTCCCAGGTACAAGAAGTAAAGAAAACCAGATATAAAATTGAAGGGCAAAGGCTTGGGAGTCTGACAGATTCTCCTACTTACCATTGTTGGCTCATTGTTCAATTCATCTAATCCTCAAAGCAAAATACCCAGTTAACACCCAGTGAAGTATCTGATAAGAATTGTATATAAGCATTTATCACTTTGCCTGCATATTAGCAGCCTAATAAGTGCTATTTATTACAGTTATGCAAAATAATAGAATAAGGATTACATGCTATATAATTAAACAATCTGTTCCTGGTTTCTGGGCATATGCCAGGTGCCAAGATCAGAGTGCTCTGTGCATTTCCTATGGTGTCCAGCATGTCAAGTGAGTGGATATATGAGTTTCCTGCCTAAAGGCACATCCGTCTTTAAGACTCCTCTGTGGGAGCAAGCTTCAATCCCAGTGATAAGGTCCTGAATTTCACCTCCTGTTGTCTCGGTCAACCCAGCCCTACAGAGTTGATGAGAGAGCTGCTGAGCAAGCACGCTGGGAAGAGGCCTCCAAGGAAACCATCAAGAAAACCACCAAGCCCTGCCCTCGCTGCAGTGTGCCAGTTGAGAAAAATGGTGAGCATGGACTGATCAGGGGAAGAGGAGGCTCTGGGCTCCTCCTGGGGGCCTTAACTGTGTGGTAGTCAAAGGAAGGGTTTCTGAGCAGGTTTAACAACCGTGTGTAGTTAAGCAAGCACAGCCATCCTTTGATGCCCTTCAAGTAAAGTCTGAATCTCGGTTCTTTCTTATCAAGTTTCTTCACCTCCTGAGTCCCAGCTCCTCCAAAACTAACACTGATTCTTCACAAAAGGAATTCTGTAGTGCAATGCACACTGGGAGTAGAGATGCCAGGAGGAGTGTCTTGGTGTTGTTTCCATGGAAAATAAATGCCTGGCCCTCAGGTCTGTGCAGCAGCAATAGTAAGGGAACTCCCTGGAACAGTGGTTGGCAGCAGCCTAGACATCGTGCTCATCGACATGTGGTCCAGGACCTGGTGGAGGAGCACTCAGTAAACACAGATTGTCCTTATTATTAATATTAGGCACCTCGTGTATGACTAGTTGTCCACCATCACAAAATGTTAGGGAAACTTCCCATCCAGGATTTCACACAATGTCTTCCATGGGATTCTAGTGTCCAGAGATACTCCAGAAGCAAGGGGAGGCCACCATGTCAGGCTCATTTGGCAGGTGATTTCCCACTGCATCCTCCACTGGTTGATAGTAGAGCAGGAGTAACCTACCGGGATAGAGCACTGACGAGGCTGAGTGCTGCATCAGGGTCACTGCATCACTCTAAGAAGTCACTGCAGGGAGCCAGGTTACTACCCCACTCACCTCCTGCACTGTGCGGTATTAAAGCCATTCCAAATGTCATTTATAAAGAAATCTGGTTCATTAATCAAATTAGCCCCAAAATTTTGGGCCATGAAATTCATTGTTTGCTTTACTTTTATTTTATCTTTTATATCGATCCTGTTAATACCACTTTGGACTCTAGACTAACTTTTGCCTTTGGGTTCTCTTCCTGGCTGGGTGGGAGTCAGTATCCTAAACTACTTTGATGCTTGGCTCCATCATTATAATAGCCTTTACATAAAAGTGCTTTTCAATATATTTACAATATTGAATATAATAAATAGTTAAATTTATTTAAATAAGGAATTGACTGCAAAAAAAGAATCATTTCCTTCTAAATTTCAGTTTAGGAGAAGTAGATAAACTCAGATTTGCAAATAGAATTTTCTCTCATTGGGAAGGGGTATGCCTCAATTTCTTAATGAATGTTATAACTTCAGAGCTGCCTACCGTGCTTTCTGAAGTTTTCTCTCTAGTTTGAGTTCTCTCTGCTCTTGCACTGTTTGTGACCGTTCACTTGGTGATGTCTAGACCAGAAGCTGGTGTGGGAATGAGCATCTCCCATGCATGAGCTGCAGATTCATGGCACTATGTCCTTTGCCCCTGCAGGAGGATGCATGCACATGAAGTGTCCTCAGCCCCAGTGCAGACTCGAGTGGTGCTGGACCTGCGGCTGTGAATGGAACCGCACCTGCATGGGTGACCACTGGTTCGATGTGTAGCAGCCACCGAGGAGCTGGCCACCTGCCCTGATGCAAGCACAGATGATCCTGTCTTCACTTACCCTTTCTCCTTCTCCCAAACACTTAATTTGCACACACACACACACACACACACACACACACACACACACACGCACGCACAAACTCGGGCTTCATGTTCTGTCTGAAAATCACAAAAGCAAAATTTCAGAAGTTCCTGGATCTCTTTCACTACATCCATGGAAAACAGCAAAGCCAAGCCTGACACCAGCAAGAGGCATTTTCAGGCCCAAGATCATGCACAGACCAGCACACAAATTAAAGAGCAGCCTGTGTGTTTTGAACAGATTGTTTTTCTTGCCTGAATACAAGTCAGGCTGGGTCAGTCCATGAAGCAACTTCTCAGGTTTAATTTCCAGCATTTGTCCTTTGGCAAATACAGCACAGAAGCCACTAGCAAACTGGGGAGTAGTTTGAGGGGATTCTTGCCAGCAGCGCCATGCAAGACTGACTCCTGTGAATCTCCAGAACTATGTTCACGGCTGTCAGAGCAATGTTCTTATTTAAATTGGAGAGAACATCTCTGTGCAGAGAGCTCCAGGCAATAGTCAAGAATAATTGTTTATCCTCAAGAATTCTATCTTTATAAATTGTGCCAGTAAAATAACAACTATGCACAAATCAGCTTGTCAACTAAGTGAGAAATTACAAAAGCTAATTTGAGTGTTGAATGTTGAAATTACAGAGGAGAAAGCAAAACATTATATACTTTCATTTCATTTAATTATTTGCAACTTCAGAGAGAAATTGTTTTCCTGAAAATAATACAAAATCTATAATTTGATTTTAAGTGTTTGTTTTGCAGCTTGGAAATTTAGCTAGTGCATGTATCTTCATTCTAAATTTAATGGATAACATGCTGTAAATGAGAATTTTTAGGCATAATTTCATAATGATATTCACTGTTGACAAAAGTGCAGGTTATTAAACACAATCCTTAAAAAGGAACATTTCCTGAACTAAGTGAAAAATGCACTTGACCCTCTCCTGCAGGCATGCAGGATGATGCATATGTGCTGAACATCCGCTCTCTTCCTCAGCCTGCAAGTCCCTGTGCTGCCCACCACTCCCTCCCAGGGGTTCCTGCAGGCAGAGCTCTTTGCATGGGACAGTAAATGCACACTGGAATATTCCTCAGGTTAACATGCATTGAATTTGAGAGTGATCAGATTGTCAGCTTTTTTTGAGAATTTGCAACACATCAAAAAAATATGTACTAGACACTGTGAAATGCATTTCTGCTCTATAATGCCCAGAGGATAGAGTGAAACCACTGCCTTTAGTCCTAACTGAGCTGTGACTTCCCAGGAGGATGGTGAGTGTGCTGAGGGCACACTGTGTCTCACTGGCAGACAGAATCCCTTCTACTTCTGGAGACCTGGTAACTCTGAAATTGGGAGCCAGTTTCCTCTTTTAGAAATGCCACTACAGTCCTTGCTGGTGAGGAATGGATAACCTCAGGAATTGTCCAGGTCACATTCCAAGGACATCTATTTCGATGCTAACCACCTCACCTAATCCACAAGTTCATGTCTTCCAGCCATCTAAGGCACATTCTGCCCTCTGTTCCCATCAGGGCCACTGCACTGGGTAAGACAAAGTCCTGTGGCTGCCACATCACCCCAAATAGCCTCGTGCAGTTTCACCCTGTGGAAAACCCAGCTGCTCCAGCAGGCTTCCAGGCTGCCAGATTGGTCCAGAAATTGAAATACCAAACAGAAATGTTGGAATGTAGTTTCAGGAAAAGAAAAGTCACCCGGCAAGAGCCCAGGTTTCACAAATGCAAGTGAATGTTCTGAGCCCTACCGCAATTCAGGGCCTGAATTTGCATCACTGACAATCCCAGCTTCTAGTGTGGCTAATCAGGTGACACCCTCCTGTCATGTGGAGGGTGCACCAGCTGTGGTGTGTTCTTTTTTAAGTGAGTTTTCATTATGGTCTCCTTCTAAATCTGCATGGTGTGTTGGGATTGTGAGGCTGAATTTGCTGCTGTGAGTTTCTGGTACCACAGGTGCCACCAGAGCTGTGTGGCTCCTAGTACAGCCTTTTCACTTTCTGGCAATGTCCTCTTTCTTTCTTTCTTTCTTTCTTTCTTTCTTCCTTTCTTTCTTCCTTCCTTCCTTCCTTCCTTCTTTCTCTCTTCCTCCTTTCTTTCCTTTCTTCCTTTCTTTTCTTTTGTTTTAGAATAAAATAGTGATTCTTAAAGTAAATTTTTTAAAAACGCTGTATATGAATATGATTCACAGTATTACTTAGATCAAACAATATTACCTGAGCTTGCAATTGTAAAAGAACATGATTGTATCCAAAAATGCAAATAAAATCTTTGCAGAATTTTTATTATTCTCTAAAATCCATTAAGAACTATCTGATGACTATATTTAAGGTTGTACTCAAGTTATAAAAAAAGCATTAAAAGAGTTTTAAAGTCTGTCTCTGAGGGTGTATTTCTGATGGGTGTTGGAGGTACGGGAAGGAAGGCAAGTCATAGAAGGGAACGCCAGTGCCGGTGGTCCCTCCTCCTGAGACCTGGCAGCCCTGTCTGGTGACTCAATGGCCTTTTCTTGTTTCTATTCCAAGCTCCCCATTAACCCTTATTGTTACTTTCTTCTTCTTCTTCTTCTTCTTCTTCTTCTTCTTCTTCTTCTTCTTCTTCTTCTTCTTCTTCTTCTTCTTCTTTTTTTACATTGGAAATCAAAATGTAAGTGTTCTGAGAGCAAGCCCTCACTCAGAAATGAAATGTTTTCTTGTCTCACTAGCAAGTTTGCCTAAGTACATATTTCCAATAAAAGTCCTAGTTTGAAGGACCATTCCTAAGGTTTTCCTTTGTGTTGTTTTGGAAGAGGTCAGTAACTTGCTGCCCTGGCACGGGTCACTTACAGTGGCACTGCGCTGCTCACCTCACAGTGCACCCCTGCGGCAGCTGTCTGGAAGCTGTGTGAACTACAGCCAAGACACACACTGCCAGAGACAGTCTGAGAACTATAGATGGCTGAGCATCGCCGGAGCACAGAGTGGAGAGGAGGAGTGGAGTGGAGAGGCCACAGAGGAAGTAGGCGAATATATGAGCTCCGAGCACTGGGATTGGAACCCCGCTCCAGTATCCACTGTAGATGAACATTAGCGACAAAAACACCCTCCACCTCATAGGACATTTATGAGGATTAACTAGGTGAATCCCCCCCTGAAGCCCTGAGACTTGTGCTTGGCACATACGAAATACCCCACACTCATTCACTGTTACTAATAAGTTTCCAGTGGAGACCGAAGACGACACTAACAGACCCCACAAAGCAATACTAAGTAATTGCAAACAGCTGATATGTCTGAGTGGCATTCATCCGTTGAGTCATTTCATGTGAGAGGCTGGTGATCCTTCACAGTGGATTTAAATGTGTTGGATTGGTATCTGCACAGCCCCAGGGTTTTGCTATAAAGGTAAGTTGATAGCTTTATGTGTGTGTGTGTATTATATATATGGACAATATCTAATGTGTGAATTGAAAAATTGGTTTTCTAAATAGAAATTAATGAGCACGGGTGTGACGTGCATATGAAAACAAACAGTAGAATAAGGGGTAAGAACAATAAGCGAACATTGTGGGTGGTATGCGTGAACCACTTACACACTCTTACCAGGCCATTTGTTGTTTGAAGAAAATCCTATCTCAGGAACACTGAGCCTATCTTTGAGTACACTGTGCAGGATAAACCATCAACCACAATATTTGAGAAGCATTGCTGAGCTTGAATAACTATGTGAAACAGGCAGACAGTGTTGTGTGGGAAGATCTGCTTGGCCACACAGATTGGTCACAGTGTGGCTTAAGGGACCCACCCTGCTTCCAGATCTTATCCTCAGCTGTGTCAGTGGACAGACTCTACTGTCCCTGTATCAAGACATGACTGGCCCCCAGAAAAGTCACACACATTAACCCAACTCATAAAAGTATGAAATATAAAAGCTAAATATCATTGTATAATTAATTTCCACAGAGAAGCTTCCAAGTCTTTTTTTTTTTTTTAATTTAAGGAGAAAAGAAAAGAAAGAAAAAAAAAACAGTGAAGGGGTACAAGTTATACAGATTTACAGAATAAAAAAATGCACAGTAGGAAATCACTAGTTAATGGATTACATATTGCCATCTTAGAAATAATTGTTTAAGTCACAAAATTAATGCTTGTAGAGTGGACATTCCAACAATGATACTGCAAACAGTTCTGTTCAATGATCCAATAAAACTCTGTGCTATCATTTTCTATCTTATACATTTAAATATACATGCAGTTATATAGTTTAGAGCACTTTCTTTTCCTCTCTTTTGTACAGTGACTATTACACATTTTGGGTTTCATTGCTCCCACGGCTCTTATTACTTTTTTGGAAGAGAGTAAAACCAAATGTGACATAACAGAACAGAATCGGTCAAGTCAAAAGGGTGGACATAATAGATAATATAAAAACATAATACAAGGTGATCAACAATGGTTACCATAATGCCTCCCACTATTTCTAATAGAATTGCCTATATCATTAGTTGTAATACAATTGAACAAAACCGTAAAGAATAAAACCGACAAAACCAAAACATTGGAGATATTGTAGGTCTTCAAAAGTAGATAAAACTCAACGAGAATGGGCGTTATAATGAATCTCATTATCTTCTCAGCTGATGCCTAAACTTTCGAACCTGATACTATCCAGCAAAACAGAATATAAGAACCTCAGTCAAAAACAAGATGGTGAGAGTAATGCAGGGCTTCAAATCGAGATAATAGAAAGTCAAAGTGGGTTACTATATTATATCCTGCTATATTTTTCCCTTTAATTAAATGGATAAAAATAAAAAAGTAAATAATGGAGTGGAGATTGAGAAAAAGGAGGGCATAACAGCAAAACAGGGCAGATCAAAACATAACCATTTAAGCAGAATAGTGTTTCACCACCAGCTAATCCTGACCCAAAAATAGTTACCATATTAACTCCTTCCCTGAAGTCCTTGAGTACAACTTCATATACTGTAGCATTAAGTATATCAAAACAATGTAAATCCATTTAAGAGAATGACAGCATTATAGAGTATTTAGAATCAACTAACAGAAAATGAACAATGGTCTCTGTATAATCTCCTTGTCTTTAAAAGGTTTTTTCTTATATTATCGTACATAACAAAATCCAATAAGATACAACCTGTTTAGACCATTGGAGACAGAAGAACAAAAGCTAGATGAGACTTCAAAACAAGATGGTACTAAATCAGCATTACCTATTAAGATGTCATTTTCTCCAAAAAAAGCTGTTCCTATCATCCAATCTTCTGTCTCATTTCTGTTGAGCTCTTTTTCTGTCAGTAGCTGTCAGTTTGTCTTCTTCATTTTGTTCTCTGCTCCATTCGTTGTGGCCTCCCCGCCCCTATTTCTGGGTTCTTTGTATTTTTCTTTTTTTAGAATATCCTGCAATACTTTCTGTAGGGTTGAATTGGTGGTTGCAAATTCCCCCAGTTCCTCTTTATCCTGGAAGCACCTCGTTTTTCCATCAATTTCCAGGGACAGTTGTGCAGGATATCTCAATCTTGGCTGTAGATTATTATCTTTCAAAGCTTGAATTATTTCTCCCCATGCTCTTCGTGATTTGATGGTTTGTGAAGAGAAATCTGCTGTAATTCTGATGGGTCTTCCCTTGTAAGTGATCTGTTTCTTGTCTCTTACAGCTTTTAATATTCTGTTCTTGTATTGAATTTCTGGAATTTTTATTATTATATGCCTGGGTGTTTCTCTGTTAGGGTTGTAGGTAGCTGGGGTCCTGTATGCCTCATACATTTGAGTATCTTTACCTTTTGCTAAATTAGGAAAATTCTCCTGGATTATTTCTGTGAGTAGCTTTTGTAGTTCACTTGTTTGTGTCCCTACTTCTTCTTTTATGTTCTTAATCCTTAAGTTATGGCTCCTCTTATCATCTTCTTGTCTTTGTATTATTGCTGTTTGTTTCTTTGTTATTTTTAAGAAGTTTTTCATTTCATTCTCCCATGTTTCAAGTCTGCCCTCCAATTCAGATAGTCTGTCCTTAGTTTCTTTCAAGCTGTTATGCCAGTCTTGGGTAGACTTCTTAATTTCTTGATAGTCCCTTTGCACCTGCTTCACATACTCAATGCTTTCTCTGTTTTCTCCATCAAGCAATTCTCCCCTCTTTTTCTGTTCTTCCATTCCACCATCTGCTTTTTCCTGGGTGGTATTTAGCATTTCTCTAACTATTCTGCATACTTCTAGCTTCAGGTCATTGATAACTTCATTCCTGAATTGGTCTATGAGGCTCTCTAAATGGCGCTTAATATATATTGGTGCAGTGTCCACAATTGCCTGATTCTCAGGATTGGGGGTCGAGGAGCCTTTTTTGTTGCTTCCCTTCCCCATATTTTCTGTTCCTTATAAAATGTAATCTTACACAGGAGGCCCGGCTTCCCTGCCTGTCAGCCACAGCTTGATCAAATTGCGCTGGCTAGTTGTTCCCGCTCACCGCTGCGCCCCAGGGAGTTGCGGAGGAGGCAGCCTACTCGGAAGTCGGTCGCTCCTCCGGGCCACCGTCAGGCTCTGGGATCTGGGTTAGGCCAGCCTAGGGAGTCCGCGCGAGCAGCGTCCCTCCGGCCAGGCACCTTTCACCAATCCCGTCCGAGAGGGAAGTGTGCGGCTGCAGTTGCCACCGCGCCCTGCTCTTACAGGACTGCCCGCGCCCAGAAAAACCTCCGCTGGAGTCAAACTGCGGTAGGGAGTCAGTTCCTCGCTCACCTCGCCACCAGTCAGCCTTCCTCACTGTCCGTCGCGTTTCCGACTCCGTTCGGAGACTCCCGTTCCCAGAGCTCGGCAGTCGCGTCTCTCCTTGCCGAGCCGCTGTGGAGGCACCGGCCGCCGGGCGGCGGGCAATCCAAACCGCGGTTTCCGATGGCGCGGGAACTACTCCCGTTCCCAGAGCTCGGCGGTCGCGTCTCTCCTTGCCGAGCCGCTGGCCGCCGGGCGGCGGGAAATCCAAACCTGCTTCCAAGTCTTTACATGTGTTCTTCCACTGCATGGAGTCATTTCTTTATAACCCTCTCCTTATTTGGACTGGCAAACTTTTAGATCTCTGTTTAATAAGTTCCTACAACATGTGTTGGCTAATGTTCCTAGTCTGTATTTACTTCCCACACTCTAACACTGTATGTGCAAATGGGATGTGATTAAAGCAATTCATTCATTTTCTGTCTGTCTCCTTAGTTACAAAGAGAGCAGAGCTAGGTACCCACCATGGTACACATATCTCTGTGCCTGGCAGATTCCAGGCTCCATAATCAGGTAATTCCATTTTTAAATTCTGAGCAAATCGACCTGGAAAATCAAACTGAAGCCAGATGTGGTGGCACAAACCTGAAGTCCCAGCACTAGGGAGGCTAAGGTACGAG